CTTATTTTCTCCAGTAAAATACATAAAAAAATCTTCACAAACATACTTTAGCTTTCATAGAGCATAAAGACTTTATTAGAATATTATTATTAAGGACTGATTAACTTATCGGCTATAACTTAATTATTGGAGTAATTAATAATAATATCAATGTCACATCATTGCCTGATTGGCCTGGGGCGATATACAACTTTCACGTCTCAATTATCTTGGCCAGAATAATTGTGGTACATGATATTATCACAATTATCTAAATATTCTTTATACTTGGCACTAAAACATACTGGAACCACTTATATTATAAGAAATACATATATTTATCTCCCTGTTCTTTATTTTGGAATCTATACTATTTCCACACATCCAGACTGATTTTGAATTTTTTTGTGGGGGGGATACAACGGACATGTTTAGGATTTTTAAATGACTGGAAAGATTTGGGCTCCTGCTTCTCTCAATAAAGGATTGAACTGCATGTGGGAATATTCACGATTATCACAATAATAGAAATTCAGCACAATAAATTTATCTGAGCATTTTTTTTATCATGACATGTGACAATATTGTATATGATAATGTATCTCCCCTTATAATTATTGAGCATCCCTAAGGGTTTCTGTGCAAATTACAGGCTTTTATTTTGAAGTCTTGTTTTAAACTTTCATTATTAGGCAGTTTTTAGCCACATTAGGCATTGTGGCTCTACAGATCGCAGTGGTGGTGTCTATGGGGTGGGTTGCCATGAACTTTAATGTGATTATTCAAAGTCCCTACAGGATGAATCTGGGGGTAGATCTGTTTTCACTGCCCAGCCAATCAGAATTAAACTGGGCTAAACTAAAGTTGTTGAACTTGATATGGGTTGATACTGATGTTGCTATATTAACAGAATTTATAGAAGTATTTAGCTCCAGAGCAATATTTTTGATCACAAGAGAATGATTAACAGAAGTGTTCTTTACAAACGTTGCTATACCAGTACGGTTATTGACACATTTTACTTGTTTAGTACTCGTACTCTGTACCAGATATTCGTTTCAGCTGAGTACTCGGTATGTTTTCATTAGTGTAAAATCACCTCAAATGAGCATCATTGTGTTTTTGTGACCTGAGAATGAACCGCAGACAGACACCGCAGCGCCTTCCATAGAGTCTGCCATGTTTCTACACACATTCCCAGGTTCAGTTAGTTGCAATCTGAAACTTCACTGGTAGATGCCACTATACCCGACACACTGGTTCTTCATCAGGTCATGTGAGCAAGAGTAGAAGAATATCTGTTTAACTTGATTTGCGGTGAAAGAACATGTCTCTGCAAAAAAAAACACCAAAGAGGGTCTCAATGTGAAATGTAGAGGCTGAAGGAGGCAGCTAACTTAGTCTTACATGTTTACTGTAATTATACAAATGTTTCATAATTTATGTGGGTTATGATTTATAGATGATAAAATGCTAGATGTGATATATAAAGAAAAACATTTCCCTTTACCTCCAGGGACGTTCAGCTTGTGGTGCCACCCGAAGTTTGAGGATCGTTGCCACTCGGTGGTGGAGTTCATAGAGAGAGCCATCATGCACTCCAAGAATGGCAAATTCCTCTACTTCCTCCGCTCCAGAGTCCCAGGTAAAATATAGGTCATATATCTGCACGTAGCCTGAGACAATCAAAAATGGATGTGAGCTGCCACTTAGTGAGAAGTGGCTGAGAGACGGAGGAGCAGAGGAATGCATAGACTGTACGTATGTCTGCAGTCAGCCTGTCAGCGTCTGTGTACGACTACAGTGTTAAAGTGTTAGATATTTGTCTTCAAAGTGTGTGTTCTTGTATTTACAGCAACTAAAACAAAAACCTTCCCCGCAGAATAAAAGCCTTTTAATAGGCATTGGTGCTTTGGTTTAAGATTTCAATGACAATTAGGTTAAATTAGATTTAGACTGAGGATTAAAATGAAACGCAGTGTAATATTTTGTTAAAGGTTGTAAGAACAAACTACTTTAATGATGCTTTTATATCACTTTAATCCTTATTGCGTAAAAGATAAGCTCCCTGATTTTGTTATAACACCTGATGCAACAAAATCAGTGAGTGAGCTGAGGGTACATTTGGGAGGTGGAGGAACAAGTTGTAGTCATTTGTACTCTGCAGGTGATTGGATGAACCAGCTGTCTATCACTATCTATCACTAGTGGTTTTATGTATGTAGTCTCACTTTTCTGTGGGCCAGTACTGATTGCAAAGACACCCTCCTCTTCAGACACCATTGACTTCAACCAATCAGATCAGTGAATGATGTAACATAGTCAAACTCTTACTGAAGCCAGTCGGGAGAAGAATGAAAACATCTTTTCAGTGTCGTTCTTTGCTCTTCTTGCA